AAAAAAAAAAAAAAAAAAATGTCAATGTAATCCATCACATCAACAGGCTGAAGAAGAAAAATCATATCATCACATCAATTAATGTGGAAGAAGCATTTGATAAAATCTAATTCATAATAAAATATTCTCAGCAAACTAGGAATAAAGGGGAACTTCTTCAATTTGATAAAGAAACATCTGCAGAAATCCTATAGCTAACATCATACTAAATGGTGAGAAAATAGATACTTTCCTCTTAAGATCAGGATCAAAGCAAGGATGTAGCCTCTCATCATTCCTATTCAGGAAGGACCAGACATCAAGCCTACCATTTTCTTAAATAAGCCTCTGATCTGAAGCTTAGTGATAAGTATGTGTCTTTGAAGTGTTTCTTTTTGAATAAAAGAATTCTTTCACCATAGAAAGAGTGTGTGCTTTGAGTTTGGGGTTTTTTGTTTTGTTTTGTTTTGTTTTGTTTTTCCAGTAGTCACAGGCAGCCTGACACTGAGAAAGAGAACTGACTATGACAGCAGAGACGAGGGTTTTGGTTCTAGCTTTGTCACCTATTGTTTATGTAGCTTTGAGCAGGCCACTTAACATTTCTTGGCTCTGTGTCCTCTGGACATGAAGGCCACTCAGAGGGTTAACCCCCCCTTATCTTCTAGGGCTGTTATCACTTGGACTTAGAAAGTGACAGAAGGCCAAAGGCCCCTTCAGGAGAAAGAGGGGTGAGGTGCTAGGGGCCACTTTCTGCCTGAAATAGACTTGGGTACACTTGGACTCATTTGAGAGTTTGTTTTTATTCCACCACTGGTGGAACTTGAATTGGACCATTGGTGACACAGAAATGAAAAGATCTTCAGGAATTTCTCCAAGAATTCACATCTTTTAGTTAAAGCCTGTGTTTTGATCTTGGTGGTGGCTGGTACCCTGAAAGGCAGGCATGTATAGTTGAGAAATCATGGTAATACTGCTTCCGTATCCTCTTAGATTCTCCACGCTTCAAATAGCAGATCTTAAAACGTCCAGCATTTGTTGAATGATTATCCTGTGGGTTTCACTCTGGTTCTGATTGTGTTATGTGGTAGCCAATCTAAAAGGTCCATTTTGCTAAGGTTGGATTGGCTGTGAAATGAGGAAATCGGCCACAGGATCATTACCATGATTAAGCTGGAGAATATTATTTAAGTACCTGGCTCTTGTTAGATGCTCAGCAATTGGCAGATAATATTGTTACTGCCAACAGAGCTGCATTTATCCATCCATACTGCCTAACTCTGTTTTCATGATCAAAATGGAAAACTCGTGCCCCACCGGACTACCAGCCCCTAGGAGCAGGGCCCAGTAAAGTCTAGGCTGCAGGATATCAGTTTTTGTTCATTCCAATCTGCTCTATTCAGTGATCACAGGTACCCTGCACCTCACTGCCTGGAATTGTATAAGAAGAAACAAGCCAAAATCCTCCTGCCTGATTTCATTCAGTAACTGAGAAGCCACAAGACCTTGGCCAAACTACTCAACTTCATTGTGCCTCACTTTGCTCATATGTAAAATAGGGAGATCAGAGAGGTGATAGGAATGATCTCTTCTAACTCTGAAATCATGCGATGCAATAATTATGATGATATTGCCCTTGATATTGCTCTTGTATATGAACACCTCTAGGAAATTTGCAGTCATTATCATTCATACAGTGTACACACACACACTCTGGCATAAGGGATATTTCATTCTCTTTTATATGGCACTTGGGAATAATTCCGTCCTCCTTTCCATGCATTTAATTTCTTAAAGAAAGCTGTTCATCTAGAACATTGTTACGGGTTTTTAAGACAGACTTCATCAAAAAAAGAACAGTATGGTCTTTATTAATTTTTTGTAAGTGCACATACACTAACCACAGTGGCTGTATTATATGAGCATTGTTCCCAGTGTGTTTTGTGGTCACACTGGGTCTGACGCTCTAGTCCAGCAGCCCTAGCCTGTCTGAGGGAGGTGGCCCAGGCCTTTGGTAATGGGAGCTCTCTGTGGCAGTCCTTGAGTTGGCACAAGTTGGGTAGAGGGAGCATGGGGAAGAGATGGATGGTTTTTTAAAAATCATAAAAAAACTTAGGCATGCCTGCCTACAAAAGCATACCCCAGGCTCCGATGAGAACCATTGTTCTACCCCATCCTTGACATGGTTATGCTGTTCAGCTTATTCTGGGAGGGGAGAAGAGAATGGTACATCCCTGCAGACCATGCCTTTCCAACCTCCTTAGGATACTTTATAGGTTGTTCTCTTTTCTCTTGATTTTCAGCACATCAGAGCAGAGTGACGATGATCCTTTTTGTCCTGGAGCTGGAGTGGGTGCTGAGCACAGGACAGGACAAGCAATTCGCCTGGCACTGCTCTGAGAGCGGGCAGCGCCTGGGAGGTTATCGCACCAGTGCCGTGGCCTCAGGTCTGCAGTATCCTTTGCGGGACAAGATATCTTGGCGGGAACTTAGCTATTGACCTCTTTGATTGATGACATTTGGGGGCCTGTGCATCTTAAAAAGTTTTGTTGTTATTTGCCGTGTTGTACTATGTGATGAAGATGCTCATAGACCGTCCTGAAGCACAAGACATCGAGGTTCCTCATGTTAGTGAAGTGAAGTGAGGCATTTTCGCCTGAAATAATATACACAGCTGGACAGGTTGTGTGTGTCTACTGTGACACAGGGTCTGACATCTAGACAGGACACAGCCCAGATCTGTGAACCTCAGCTGTCAGAATTATGGTACATGGAGATGAAACCATCACCAAAATATAATCTTTAATTTTTGTACAAAAGTAATTTACACATAGATAGTCAGGTTGTGAGCATTCCCACTGATGCCTGGGAAAAGAACCACAGGATTCCTATTCATTTTCAAAATAGTTATTGAGAGGCTACCATGCCTGGACCAGAGTGATCAGCAGGTATCTACATGGTAATATTCTATCTTAGTTCTATGCATGAGACTTTTCCAGGATTTATGGAATGGTATTCTTATCTCCCAAGTTGCCAATGTGCTCAGGGTAAATCCCTGTTGATACTGGATAATTCTCACATTTGGCCGACTGGGCTCCAGTAAGCACAATATTGACCAGTGTGTAGCATGGGTGGATGATGCTACCATTGTAGGGAGTAAAGAACCCTGAGATTCTTAGTCTCTCCACCTGCTGAAGAATGAGGAAGTAGGTGGAAACAGATCACTTGTCAGGAAGAAACAGTAAGGCCTGCTTTCTAGTTTCATCTGCATATTTATAAATTGCCTGTTCAGTGATTCTTAACAACCTGACAAATCATATTGCTGGTTTTTTGCAGCCATGTGGCAGGAGATATATTTTTGTATGTATATAGGCTAATATCACTCTTACTTTCCTCGCTGGAAGGGCAAGGTGAAGAAACTAACAATGGCCATTGTGGAAGGTTGTGAAAGTGGCAAGTTCCCAATAAGTCCAGAGGCAAGGTTGATAAGGAATGGAAAGCAAGAACAGCTTATCTTTGAGAGGGTAGTACCACCTGTTAATAAAAGAAACTCCAAACTTGACTTTCTACAAGCCAGTTCAGATGAGCATAATGCTTGAATTGAAATACATGAACTCTCTTGCCAAAACATTAATGGTTCCTTATAGTGTTACAATGGAAGGGCACTTTGAGATCATCCAGTCCAGCCTCTGTCTTAGTCTGTTTGGGCAGCTCGAACAAATTGCCCTAGACTGGGTGTCTTACAAACAACAGAAATTTGTATCTCGTACTTCTGGAGGCTGGCAAGTCTAAGATCAAGGCACCAGCACATTCATTCAGTGTCTGGTGAGGGCTTGCTTCTTGCTTCATGGGCAACTGTCTTCTCGCTATGTCCTCACAGGGTAGGAGGGGCAAAGGACACTCTGGGACCTTTTTTTAAAGGCACTAATTCCATCTATGAGGACTCCAGTATCCTGACCTAATCACTCCCAAAGGCCCCACCTCCAAATACCATCACTTTGGGGGTTAGGTTTCAACATTTGAATTTCGAAGGGGCATAAGCATTCAATCTTCCTTACCACGTGTACACACAAATTATAACTAGGGGTGGTAATGGATGTGTTAATTAATTTGACTGTGCTAATCATTACACAATATATGTATATCAAAAAATCACACATATACCTTGAATATATACAATTTTTATTTGTCGATTAAATACTTTTTTAAAAAATTCAGGCTGGGTACAGTGGCTCACGCCTGTAATCCTAGTACTTTAGGAGGCTGAGGCAGGAGGATTGCTTGAGGCCAGCAGTTCAAGGGCAGCCCAGTCAACATAATGAGACCCCTCATCTCTACAAAAAATTAAAATAAATTTTCCAGACATGGTGATATACACCTATAGTCCCAGCTGCTCAGGAGGCTGAGGCAGGAGGATCTGCTTGAGCCCGGGAGTTGGAGGTTGCAGTGAGCTATGATAATGCCACTGCACCCTAGCCTTGGTGACAGTGTGAGACCGTGTCTCAAAAAAAAAAAAAAAATCAGTCTCTAGCATGCTTATTTTACAGATGAGCCAACTGAAGCCCCACGCCTCATCTGAGGCCACCCAGCCAGTAAGTAGGAAAATCCCTACTAGAACCCAGGTGTTCTACCTTGGATTTGATTTTTTTTTTTTTAAACCATTATACTGCATTGTTCCTTTGAGAAAGAGCTATTGGCATCAGTATAATCTGGTCTTATGCTGGCTTACGTATCACTAGCCAAGCCTAGTGAAATACCTTCTATATATCTTCTGTATCACTTAGCCAAGCCAAGGACTATGGGAAAAAATACAGATCTCACCCTCAAGAAGCCAGCTTTTTAAACTATCTGAAAATGAAAAACAGAAAACAAATGCAGAGTTAAACTAGCCCTGACTGTGGTGGTCTTTTGTAAGATTATAGCCACCAGCTCCTCTCTTTAGGCATCTCCAAAAGTCATCCTCATTTTCTGACTATTTCCTTTGGCCACACTGTGTGGTTTACCAAGCAGACATTCATGCAGTTGGGTGTCAGAAGCTTGTGTGTGTGTGTGTGTGTCTGTGTGTGTGTGTGTGTTTGTGTGTGTGTGTAAGCCTCTGAGCTTCAGTTCCCAGTGTAAGTGCCCATCCAGCCAACCTCACTGTTAAGGTGGAAGGGAGCTGCAGTGCTACACACAGGCCCTCCTAGAAGATCCTTGACCTCCACCAGCTCTGCCTTGCTAGCTGTGGTTTTGGAGCCACAGTGCCAACCCTTGCTCTTGGGTATCTTTCCATTGCTGAACACTGATAGCATGACAGCTCTCTGCTTTTGCCAGAGGGTCTCAGCCAAGAACCATGTGACTTTTCCAGTGCTGGAGGTTTTTTCTGGGAGCTGGCTTGTGGGCACATTGTTAATAGGCAAGGTATACACTATTAGGGTTCACTTTTAAATTAGCTTTTAAACATGTTTCCTCATGAGACCCTCCCACCCCCACATCTCTCTTTTCCTTCTCTCTGCCACCCTCCATACTTAAAAGTGGGGTTTTTTTTTTAAGTGTTGAGGGGAAGAAGAAGATCTGGTGGAACAACATAAAATGTTTCAGAATAATATCAGTACACCTATTTATATTCATACTAGATGGCTAATGGTATAGATTAGAGACCTGCACAGAGGAACTAATTCTCTCCCATCTCCATCTCATTCAGCCGAACCAACAAGTGACAGGATAAATCAGATAGAATTTAGCCTGTTTTTTTCTTCTTTCAGGCCTCTTAGTGGAGAAGTAAATATTCATTGAAAATACCCAAAATTCCCATAGGAAAAAGAAGAAAGACAAAGACTGACCGGTTCACAAATTGAATTATCAACCTTTGAGTAACCTAAAATTCTTTGGTTGTCTTGGCTAAAGATCTGAAGCTTCAAATATTAAGTGACCTATAATACTAACAACAAGAGCAAAATAATAAGGAAGAAAAGGAGAGAAAAGGAAAAGAAAAAGAAGAAAATATCTTAGATTTGCAGGCCCAGAGAATTTACGAAGTGCTTCTGCACGTTCCTTTGTTCACTGTCGAAATGATGCTGTGAAGTAAGAGCGGAAGACCCGATTCTCAAGGTCACATGACTGTTCCCTGGCAGAACCAGGATTAGAACTTGGGTATTATAATTTTTCAGTCCTCTGCACAGCTAGTCCTCTGCACAGCTAGATACAGCAGAATGGAAGTATATTCCAAGGTCCCGTGGAAGACAGATGGTAGGAAATAGAAATGTTTTCCCTCCCCGCTTCACTTGCTAGTTTTTAAATTTGTGAATACTTTATCCAGCCTCACCTGTCAGTATCTTGTTATTTGACCATTTTTTGATCATGTTTCCTGTTTTCACAAAAATAATTCAAGTGCTTTTTATTTTAGGATTTTATCTATGCTGGAGATATTTACAAAATGTCACCATGTATAATGGAATGTTCTCCCACCTAATGTAATCCCTTAGATTTGTTCCCATTCAGGTGAAGAGTTCTGAAAAGCTAGCTATTAAGGTTATGTCAATTTCTTCCTATCATACTTAATGCCAGTTACTCTGGCTCTGAGGTTGTACTATAATTTTATTTCAACTCTATTCTAAATAACCTTTTGTTGAATTATATTTTTAAAGAGAATACTATTATTTACTTAACAGTTATAAAGGCTATTGGTATCAAATTGAGTCTGTTTTTTTTGTGGGTTCTTATAATTCATGATAAATTTAAGGCGATCTTTCTCCTTACAAGTTTTAGTAATTATCTTACATATGTCTGATAACTTTTTAGAAGAGTATAACTTTTTGTTATGCCTTATTCTTAACAGTTTGTTATGAAAACTTTCAAAACAGTCACCAAATTGGAGAAACTAGTATAATGGACACTCAGATAGCCAGCATTCACATCTACCACTGATTCTTCTATCCTTTTGGGCTTTCTTTTTTGCTGGAGTATTTTAAAGCAAATTCCATACCTTATGTCATTTCATCCTTACATACTTCATTGAAAATATATGGATCATTTTTTCAGTAATCACAATGCTATTATTACACCTAAAAATTAATATCACCCCTTGATGTTGTTGAATAATCAAACCATTTTCAGATTTCAGTGATTGTTTTGAAAATGGCTTTGTGCAATGGGTCTGTTTGAAATCGGATCTAGACAAGGTCCATGCATTGCATGTGGTTGTCCTGTCTTCTAAACCTTTCTTCACCTAGCGTAATGCCTCCTCACTTCTTTTATGCCATTGCCTCATTGAATCAGTTCTCCTGCAGACTGTCCCATATTCTAAATTGATCTCTTTTCTTCACGATATCATTTAACTCGTTTCTCTACCTACCTCTCTCCCATATGGTCTGTAAACTGAGTTGCCCCTAAAATCTTGATTGCATTCAGATTCGACTTGTTGGTAAGATCACATGAGGATTGTTCTATGTGCTTCGTGTTGCTTCCCATCCACAGGCACACGATGTTGGGTTGTTACCCTTGGGGTTATGCTGAGGTTGATCAGCAGTGCAGGTGGTGACAGTTGATCCCTGCAGTGCGGTCCTCCCTACCAGCCTCTCTTTTAATGGTTTCATCTATTCCTGAGCTTTTCCTGAATCAGTTCTTTCATTAGGGTGGCAAAATGGTGATTTTCTAATCCTGTCGTATTTTTCCCATGTATTAGTTAGAATTCTACTGAAGTAGAACTTTCCCTTATTAACTAGGGCTATTTGGTTAC